AGCCTGGATTTTAGGGCTTATGTGGTTTTTCTCTTCCTTGGTGTTTCTCAGACCATCATTTCATTTGTACTCCAAGCCTGAGCCATCTTTCCAGAAAAGCAATACCCAGACTCCTAATACAAACCACGGGTGGATCTCATCATGTCTTCAATGCATTAAAAATGCTCTTATAAGAAGATTTATTCCCAGGGCCTTTACCCAGACTTCTGCATGGAGTTGCTAGAGACATTATGTAATAGCTAAATCTTCATTAGTTATATGTTTGCTTTGTGCCTTCGTGACAATGATGAAAGCTGTAAATAAGTATGTTGTCCCATCTTAACAAGGATAGCGTATCCATCAATAAGGACACTTACTCTGCTGCGATCTTTGCAAGGCTGTACAGGGGAGTAAATTAAAGAGAGAACAACATCCTTCATCTAAAGTGTCCTTGTTCTGTCACTTAATGTTTTACCCTTGCTAATATCTTTCAAAGTCTGGCTGTTAGTCAGAAAAGTCACTCAGTAAATGTGACATATTTTATCCATCCTGAGTCTATTTGGTCCTAGAATGATTTTTCTAGGCAGCCACGGCTGCAAGTGTGACTTGGCACTGCTCCCATGGTTTCTTACCTTCACCCAGCAATCATGGAAGTTTTCCAGTGGGATGCCTGAGGATGGAAGGGCCAACTGGGGGAGTCGTGGCAGCTCAGCTGAACAGGGAGGTGCAAGCCCTTGTTTGGGGTGGCACATAAGTCATCTGGGTGAAGGCAGGTGAGATGAGACTCCACTCTCAGTAGCGTTCACTTCAGCCTAAACTGACTGGTTGGTAACACTCTCACTTAACTGTCCTAGTTAAGTGCAGCAAAACCTATATGCTAGCTTTAAACTACCCTGAATGTCAAGATGACCCTTAATCTACACACAAATGACAGGATTATGGGTCCACAGTGCTCAGGCAGGAGCTACAAGTGATCTCCGGGATAGAGTGAGGAGGGGTAAGAGGTGGTTAATGCTGCTTGATGGGAGAGGTCTGTGCTTGCAGCTCCCTGCTGAGCAGAAAGCCCAAGCGAAGCACATCCCATGTGAGCCCACCTGCCTCTGTGCCACCATTGCATGGCTGAAACTGAGCGAAAGCATCCTTAGTGTGACTCTTCCCTCTCCCCAGGAGCAGCCTCCAGCACACAGAGCTCTGAGCTTTCTCCCTGGTGGGATGGATACATAAAGGAGCCTGCCGAGGTACCAAGGTTCCCACCACAGCCAGCACCTCCCTGGCTCTTCTGCAAGGCATTTACACCACTGCCTTGAGCACAGGTACCCCCGACCCACCGCAGGGTTAAACAGAACAACTGAAATAACGCAAGGAGTTTTGGAGTGATGGACTCGCTCCAGGCTTGTGGGACAGTCCAGGAGTGAAAATCAGGATGTGGCCTGCAGAGGGAAGAAAAGAGCTGCAGTAGCACCGCCACAGCTTCCCGGGGGTCTGCTCTTGCGCTGTTCCTCGGGAGCAGGCGCTGAGCTGAATAGCTTGCCTTTAAACATTAAATACATTCAAAGCCCATTCATATCAAAGCAAAATTAAACTGCTGGATTTCATTCAGGAGTCTTTCCCCCTGAGAAAGGGCTGAGAAGAAAATAATGGTTTAGCTGAATGCCTCACCCATCCAGCACGCAGCAAAAATCCCCCCAGGAGGTTAAGGTGAGAAGTGAGGCTTGGCTATCGCGTTGCCTCATTGCATTGTTATCTGTAGAGAAGCCAATTTCTCAATCCATTTAGAAATCCACTAATTGTCATTGGAGCTATTTGCTGACACCTGTGAAGCAGCTCTGTAATGAAGAGGAAGTCCATTTATTCGTTAACATTTGTGAAAATAATTGCCTGTCACTTAACTGAGCATCCTTTGCCCTACAAACACTTGCTCTCCAGCACACTGTAGGGGTGGGGTTTTGAGCTGCACACTTTGAAACGCCACTTATAATTTCCATTCCCTGAAGGGCTCATTCTCAGCGCTGTGACACGAGCGAGGGAGCACGCTCCACATGAGAACGCTAAATGTCCTGTCACTTCTGCTGCAAGGAGAGGAGAGGGTGTTAAATGTGCTGCAGGAGGCCTTGAGCAAGCGGGTGGCAGCTCCAAGGTACTGCTGGAACTGTGGTGCTTTACAGGGCTGCTGCTCCTCTGCAGCCTGCCCTGCACCTCTGCCGCGCATCATGATGGTGCTGGGAGAGGTGGCTGCAGGGTTTGGTGCCGATGAAACCACCTCTGGTCAAGGAGATGACACAAGGTAGCCCCAGCCCACTGTGTGGGTTGCAGAGGCTGTCTCTGACCTCTGTTTTCTAGCCCTGCTTTCAGCGCTTATGAAGGCAAAAGAAGGACCACATGAAGGTAGGTGTGCACCATGGAGTGACTCCTGGAGGGAGGAGGAAAGGGGTTTTGGGAGGTAGATGAGGGGTAGGGAGAGGATGGAAATGGTATTCCTCAGCTTAGTCCTCTATACCTATTGCCTCCATGAGTACAGCCAACACCTCTACCAGCGCCTGTTCACGCCATGGGTGACACCATGCAACTTCTTTGTGCCCTGCGCTCACCAGCTCACCCGTCCCCACCATGACCAGCACTTCCTCTGCCACCACCACTGCTCCCACCAGCACACATAACATAAGCCAACCCATCCCTTAGCTTTGTGGAAGCAACATTCAGCTTTGCCTACGTGACCGAGAGGCTTTGAGGTGCTCTGCCTGCTAGGGAAGATGGGTTTGCCATAGCAGTTAACTAGAGCATTCAAGGTGTCTCGCCAGCCCCCCTGCAGATAAGCAGGAGCAAAGGAATTGCATCCCTCACAATCAATAGAGATCTGCCTGCCTGCACCTCCTGGGCTTATATTGCTGCAATATCTTTCAGTCCAATGGCTGCCTGCTTGTTTGTCAGCTGTGTTGAATGTGTGTTGTTTCCTGAACATATGAATTCCCCCATCGGTTCCCAGGGCAAGGAGTGCCACCTCTCCTGGGGCTGGATACCTGCCAATGTTGACTTCAAAGTGCGTGGAGCAGGAGATAAGCACTGCCCTGCTGCTGGGACCCACCGTGCACCTTGCACCGTGCACCCCACTTCTCATCCAGAGCTCCTGCTGGAGCCGGGGTAAGTGTCACACACCACCGGCATGTGTCATCCCTGCGGCTGTGGGCAGGGACATCAGCCACATCCCAGGGGAAGTGTGGGAGGAGCACACCTCTGCAGCCAGCCCCGAAGAGTGGAGCAACTCCAGCTGCAACGGGATCGAGGGCACGAGGGCCACAAGACCACTGAGTGGTGAAGAGGGGACTGATGCAGACGCACTCGAGGTATGGTCTGCATTTGAGGTGAAGGTGCTACAATCCTTCCCAAGTTCCCAGGTGCACCAGCAATGGGGTTGGCCGCCGGCTTGGGATGATCCAGTCGGTGTAATAACACTCAACAGCACCCTGCCATCGTCATTCTGGTGGGTGCATGGACTCGTGACAGCTCACAGCTGCTGGGAATGGCTTATTAGATGTGTTTGCTTTTCACGGGTGCGAGCTTTCAAGTGTTTGCAAGCAGTAATTGCTGCTGGTACAGTGCCTTGGGAAGCTTGGACAAGTACTATGGGTTGGGCTTCCCACAGGGGGCAGGATTCCTCATTTGGAAAGACTGGAGACACCAGCTCCGTTTGCTTCTTGGTCAGGAATTCAGTGCGTTTCAAGATTAGGCAACTGTCTTTTTGGTTTCGGGTGCTGCAGTGTGAAGAGGGAAAATCGTGTAGGTGAGTGTAAATGAGCAGGGATTGCTGCCTGTTTGCACCTGGGGATTTAGGCTTCCAGATAGTTAATTTCTGGTAACTGTACTCCAGCATTTTGAAGCATTTCAGTCTTGAAAGGCCTTTTATGGATAATGAGGCTGTGGGAAGATGCTGCTCTCAGAGAGCCTTAGACTGGAGAGCAAAGGGTGGACAGGGGCTTTCCTTTAGCACTGCAGTTAATGAGCGAGTAGGTAGCCAGCACTTGCAAGAAAACACTGGAAGAGAGGAGGGTAATATTGAATGAGAGGGTTTGTTGCCTTCCTTGTAACAAACAAAGCTCACCTAAGTTTGAAACGACCCAACTGATATGTTATGGAGTGGAGGAAGTAGGAGATGGTTCTGCTTGGAGGACCAGGGGACATCCTGCAGAAGGTTTGTGTCCTGCAGCCAGCTCTGTAATGGCTCTGCAAAGCCTGGCAGGAGCCTTGGCCATCCTCCCAAAGCCATCCCAACCCAGGAGCAGGGAGGCAGCGTGACCCACGCTCTGTGCCCTGATTCAGAGTGCTGATCGTGTCAAGGAGAGCTGGGCGGGTGCTGGAGGGTCCCCACATTGCCTCCAAACCAGGCTGGTGCCCTCAGCATGGAGTACCCCTGAGCTGCAGCACTGAATGGGGAAGGAGGCAGCACATGCTGGACCAAGTGAGGAAAGGGGCACGGAGCCCTCACCTGTAGCTGGTCCTGCCCCAAGGGATGGGTGCAAGTGCTGCATCTATCCCACACAGTATCCTTACCACCTGCACCAGGAAGAAAGATTAGCTCCCTCTATAGGGGAGGAACTTTCCCCTGTAGGATACTGTGGACAAAGTGGTGCAAGAGAGATGTGGGGGTAAGGCAATGTGCCACTTTTCCATTTGCCATTGCAGTGGCTGTCACCACTGGGTAAACAGGCAGGAGAGGGGACCGTTGGTGAAGGACACAGGAGCATGTGGGAGGGATGCTCACACCACAATGCTATGGGAATGTCCTCACTGATGAACCATGGAGTCAAAGCTCCTGCTGGGGCCTGCTGGGAAAACATTAGCCATGGTCCTGCTCCCCACTCACACCTTCTCCTGTTAATTATTACAAGGCAAGCGATGAAGGCCAACGTGCACCAAAGTCCAGTGTGAAAATCAGCACTTCACTTGCAGCCATGAGCCAGCAGACCCCAACCACCATGGAGCAGCCTACACTGCTGGGGGACACAACAGCAGCCTTTGGGGTGGCAGACATCATCGTTGTGGTTTGTTACTTCGCCTTTGTCCTCACCATTGGCATATGGGTGAGTTCCTGAGGTGACTGGGTTTAGGTCTGCCTGAGGTGCAGAGCCTCCTGTCCTCCCTGGAGCCCTCCTGGGCACAACGGTGTTTGCCTGCAGAAGGGCATCCTCTGTGCATGCTGTTATCCCAGGGCCTGTTGAGTAAGCTTGGGGGTGAACCCCCACATGGGAACAACCAAGGGGTCATTCCCTGGAGGTTCTGGGGGTGAGATGATGTCTACCTCCCATGCTGCAAAGTACTCACACCAGGTTGTGGGCAGAAGCAGGCAGGGCTGGGGTGCGGAAGACTGCAATGGGACTTTAAGAAGCTTTGGAAAGATTTCTGCTTTGGAAAGATTCATGTTGCTTTGCAAAAGCCTCTTTCATAGAGACTTATATTGTTGTGGTTGGCTCAAGTGGTTTTTGTTTCCCAGTTGGTACATTCAAGGAGAAGTCATTAAACAGGTACAAGCAGCTTCTTTCCAAAGCTGGGCTATTATAAACCTGAACAAAGAGGGGTAGAAACAATGGTTGAAGCCTGGCGCACTTAACAGGCACACAATAAAGTGTTCGGAGCTGATGCTGAGGCCGGACATTCAGGTTTGGTGGCAGAGCTGCTCATCACTCTGGCTGCTGCCATGTGCAGCAAACCATATTGTTATGGTGCCTGGCTGCAAGTTCTTGGTTGCTGCAGACAGCAAGCACAGTCAGCCTCAGTCACATTGGAGAGGCTTGGTGGCCTATCTGAGGACATCCTATTGCTCTTGGAATCCCTGCAGTTCTCATGCAGTTCCCAGATGGGGCTGTGTAACGTGGCCACACCAAGTGTGGGGCTGCTGGAAACCCTGAATCCACAGCAGTGGGAAGAAGCAAGGTAGCAGGAGCTTCAGCAAGGCATTGCTGGTCATCCTGGAGTGCCTCTGCATGTCATGCCCAATTGCAGTCCTTGATGGCATCCCATGGGGTACAAAGTTGTCCTCTGATTCTCACCCCTGTGCCCTGAAGGTATTTGTCAGGGGTGCTGGACAGCAAAGAGAGAAATGCTTCCTCTTAATGCACACCGTCATCAGGAGGTGGGCAGCTTCTCTTGGAGCTGAAAACACTGATCTTCACATGGCTGAGAGCAGACAAAGCCCTAGGTTTCTCAAAATTAGGTGCCTTTCACAGGGGCCCTGCTTCAGCCTGTGTCAGAGCCATGCACTACCTGTGCTGGTAGGACAAGCCAGTTGACTGCAGTGACACCCAAGGGAATAGGGTTAGGGTGGTGTAAAAGGTTGCTGATGGGATGTTTCAAGGCTACTGGGATGGACACTGGATCTGACTTGAGGGTGAGTGAATGGAGGAAAATGCTTTTCTTTTTCCTGTGCTTCCAGTCATCGATACGAGCAAGCCGGAGCACCATTGGAGGCTATTTCCTAGCTGGACGATCCATGACTTGGTGGCCTGTGAGTAAAATGCATCCCTCTCTTTTTCATGGTTTGAAAGCAATTTTGGATGTAAGGAGGACAGATCTTGTGAGGGGACTCAATCCATACTGTAACGTTGACATCAAGAGGATCCACCAGGAATCACCCCACGCAGCTTTGCTTATGGAGCTGCTGGGCCAAAAGGATAGTTCAGAATCTTCATGTTTTCTCAACTGTTTCTCTGCTAAAGTCAGCAGTAAAAATGTTCACACTGATGGAAGTGAGGGAGCACTGAGTGCCTAGCTGGGTTGGAAACTCTTTGGCCCCAACTAACCAAACGTATCGTTGTCCCCAAGCCAAGAGAGCACTAGGTAATCTAGGAATGTGCTATCCATTGAAAAAAGCATTTAGAGACAGAAGAAAACATAATCCTAAAGCCCAGGACTTTCTGAGCCCCTGCTATTGAGAGTAAAGTTGAGATTATTGACTAATGATGTAAAGGATATAAACTTCAAACCGCCGAAGTATGTATCTTAGCTATGAAGAACAGAAAAATCTATTGAAGTCGCCTTTTCTTGGGAGTGAAAGGTACATATAAAGATAATTTAAAGTTAGAAAGGAATAAAAACGCCACAGGAATAAAGATCCTTCTCAGCCGGTGCCAGACTCTAGCACCATATATCTCTCCAGTGAGTCATGGGTAACGGAATGCACTTCTCAACCAAAACACTGTATTTTTGTCTTTTTTAACTTTGGGTGTACATTGCCCATAAATTCACTAGGCTGGATTTTCAACCTCTTCCATCAGAGACACATACACCTCTCTGAAATCTGTTATTTCTTAAATGTTCTTTATACTTGTGTCTCAGCCAAGTGACATTTAATGGAAAAGCTTAGCTTGATGGTTTTCTCTAATTAGGAGGAGGGAAATCAAAAGAAACTAAATTGGAACATTTTTCCCCAACATCGTTCCTTTTATCTAAAACAAAACCAAAAACCAAACCCCAAAACATTCTCATTGTTTTTGGCTCCATCCACAGGCAGTCACAGAGTCTGTTTGGTATAGGCTCTTGGCTCTCCTGACTTACCATTCTAGGTTCAAAGCCAACTCTAGTGCTGTTCACTTCTCAGTTGTGTTTGTCAGAGAGCTGATTCCACCTCTGCAGCACTCCTGCAGGCTCAGCTCCTCGTGGCCTTCCCCTCAAGTACATGACTGGCTTACATGTAGTTTGTTAGTGGGGTGACAGATTTCTGCTGGGTGTTAGACAGCCTCCACTAAACCCTGGTATTACATTGCTGCTCCTGTGCAATGTATCTTCTGTATTTCTGTGTCTGATAGAGATATCAGGAAAACTGTTTACCTTGCTTGACAGCATCACCTCAGTTGCAAATTCATGTTCTGGCATCCAGCTCTCTAATCAAGGGTTTTCTTAGACAAGAAGGCAGAGCCATTGGCAGGAATCAGTGTAGGTGTTGATGCCATATTAATGTTTTACCTTGCTCAAAGGTGAGAAGCAGATGAAATTCCATCATTCCTTGTTTCACATGTAGCAGTACTACAGAGAGAAAAGCTCCTTGGAGTCCACGTGTCTAAAAGCAATTTAGAGACAAAAGGACTAGGCTTGTCCTTTGGGTGACTTTTCATTTGACCTTGACAGAGATTTGATCTTGGCACACAGAAAGGAGGAGAGTCTTTGTGCCAAATAAACGTGGTAATCAAGTCAGATAGTCTTTGCCCTGTTTAAAGTGCCTTGGAGCTTGCATTCTTCCAATTAGAGTGCCAATGAGCCATGCCAGGGACAACCTACCATGCCCACAGTCTACAGTTATAGTTAACCTTAGACATTAGCATTTTCCAGCCTACTGCAGAGCTGAATATCTCTGAACCTGTGTGTAGACATTAAACAAAAAAGGCCTGCATGTTTCTAACATTGTCCCTGCTATGGTTCAGGAATGGTTCAGAAGGAGCTCCAAGAGAGTACTGCTGTCACCGTGGCTATGTAAACCACCACATGCATGTTCACTGCAAGACATGGGGAGGCTGGGCTGTCAGTAAGTCAGAGAGAGGTAGAGCAAGAGTCAGCAAGGATGGAGAAGGCACGTTGCTGGCTGAGTAACAAGGCAATGGAGAAATCCTTCATGTTTGATGGACGCTGAGGTATCTGTGGCTGACACCACACTTCCCTTACCCCACTGTACGCTCCGTAACAGTCATATACCTCAGGGGAACCACTGATAAAGTGAAGCCCAATTCTGAGGTTAAGTTTTGCATTGGAGTGGGGTTGTGGAATGGAGCAGATACACCCACTTTAAGATATAAAAACATAGTTTTCTTTAAAAGGAGAAGGAAAACCCATCTCTCCCTAGTACCCAGCTACCTACCTACATGGAGATGAGGCCCTGGGGAAAATGCTTGGTCTGATACAGAAGTTCCTCAAGGTGACTTTCTGGGTTTTGTGCCTGTGCCATGTGTTTCAGATTGGAGCATCCCTGATGTCAAGCAATGTGGGCAGTGGATTATTCATCGGCCTGGCAGGCACTGGAGCAGCTGGGGGCCTTGCTGTTGGGGGCTTCGAGTGGAATGTAAGTCAGTGATGTTGTCAACTAAGATGTCACTGTTTGTTTACAGAGGGACTGGGGGTTCATCTCCAAAATCAGATACCAACAGTATCAGCAATTGCAAGTTCTCAAGCCTCAGGAGAGAAGTCTCCAGACATTCAGACAGCCTTAAAAACATGAGATCTTTATTTTACTTTAAGGGGAATCCACTCAAATTATTAGCTCTTTGAACTTCACAGAAGCACATGGCCATATGTTTAAGCTTTGTTCTGCACTTATGAAGATAAATGGGAATGAATACTGTAAAGGTACCTGGATAATCACAGGATTCTGGATATAGGGGATTTGAAAAAAAAGCAGCATGTACTCCTACATTCAGTGTAAAGCCCTAAGAATCAGTAACACTGCATTCAACTGCCTCTGGGGTGAACATCTGGGTGTGAAGGCAGGTCTCATTCTGGCCTATTGAAGTGGCCTAGAAAACTGCCACTGACACCACAGAGAGCATGAAAACCAGGTCCTTTGTGTGCGATGCTAATGGAATTTCTCAACCACAGTGATGAGGAGTGAGATTAGTGCCAGCCTCACAATAAACATCACTCACCTAACTCTAAATCTCTTGTCTATATCAGCAGAGACCATGAATAGGGCCGGAGGCTTGCCAAGCACAGGCAGAGCCCACAAAAAGCTCTTTCCTGGGATATCTATTCACTGCATTGGGGCTTTTTCTTAACCATTAAGATCACCTTTAAGTCCTTTGTGAAGAGCCTATGTTAAGCCTGGTGCATGTAGGACATACATACCAATATAGCTGTGCTTTAAGTAAATCTATTCAAGTCATTTTAGAAGCCCATGAAAACAAGATTGTATGTCAGGGCAAATCTAACTTCATGAGCTTAGATTCATTTATTTCAGATTGGAAAGGGACCTTAGATATGCCATTATTCTCTCCCTTTGTCGTGGGACATTACTCAGCTGCAGGCATCATATGAGCATCTTTTACCTAAGCCAGTTTCTGCCACTGCAGTAGCCATGGCTGTTCTCCTCGGTCACTCACAATCTCTGCTCACAGAGATCAGTTCCATTTCTAATAACTTAAATAACTGATCAAAGTAAAATCTAGACAAATGTAAGGTACTTGTATGAAAGGTAATGGTCTGAGACAGACAGGAGATGAGATTTGATAATCCTATGGCTTTTATTTATGTTCAAGAACTCCTGTTTGGCCTTTTACTGGGTTTCAGAGAAGAAATTCATGATGGGAGATGCCTTTACACCTTCCAAAAGACCCTTCACCTGTGGCAAAGCACCTGAACTGCCTCTTTATGTATCAGTGACAGAAGAACATCTGCGTCAGCCTGAAAGGAGAACATCCCAGCAGAGTCTCACTGTTGATTATTTTTATGCCTCACGGGGACAGTCTGCTGCCTCAGCCTCATCACTTGCTAATCAAGCAACAAACAGATGCTCCCATCCTTCTCTGAATCACTTAACTCTTCACTGCCACAGCATCAGTGGTTTCAAAGTCCATCAAATGCAACACCATCCTTCAGAGGTCCAGAGCAATAGAATACACCATCTTCCCCAAAAAGACCAGGAGATGGAACAGGATGAGCCACACATGATGGAGGCACACACAGGTTTATTGCGTTGAGGGTATTTGGAGGATAACTTCAAAAGCTTCTAGATGTATTGTAGTAATTCCTTCATTTGTCGTTCTGAGCAGGGAGAAAAAGACTGTTCCCAAATCCATTGCCTGGCACTGTACCTTTCTGCTTTCTTACAATATCCACTGAAAGAACAAAGGAGAAGGATGTTCCCCTGTGTTGAATCATGTGTCTTTATTTTCTCTGTCTCCTTAACAGGCTACCTGGGCACTTGTGGCTCTTGGCTGGATATTTGTGCCTGTTTACATTGCATCAGGAGTGGTCACCATGCCCGAGTACCTGCAGAAGAGATTTGGAGGGCAGAGGATACAAATTTACATGTCCATGCTGTCCCTCACTCTCTATATATTCACCAGGATATCGGTGTGTACCCAGCTGAACACAACCCTTGTGTCTGGGGCAGGGGATAGATCATTCTGGTACCACGCAGGGCTGCTCAGAGATAACTCAGATGCCCTTGAAAGGGCCAGCTCAGCTACCAGAAGCAGTAGCAGTGTGTTAGCATGCTGCTTTGCTGGAGTAAATGCCTGCCTCTGTATTGATCATGGAGACCTATCCTAAGAGAGAGCCTTCATTAAACAGCAATGCACAGTGAGAACTTTACAGGGATATGGCAGCTAATTATTAAACAGTGCAAGTACCGTAAGCTGTCTGCCTGCTTTTCCTCTTCTATCAGATCAAAGCTTAGGCAATATAAACAGGGGAACTGCAGCATTACCCCGTCTGAGGATCTGGCTGCATCTTGTAGATCTGAAATTCTCTTAAATTATCATAAATCTGCTGTTACTCTTGTAGCTGAGTGTCATCAGCAAACTCGCTGAGGGTGCATCAATCCCACTGTCCATGTTGCTGACACAGATGTTGAACAGGATTGGTCCCAACACCGACCCCTGAGGGACGCCCCTTGTTACCAGTCTCTATCTGGTCATTGAGACATCTGTATGTTACGGGTATTCCTGTCTCTTTCTGTCATTTTTGTTGTATAAAAAGGGTATGGTGAAAGGGAAGTAGGTTCTAGCTTAAGAAAAACCTCAGCATCTTCCCTGGATTGCTTGTAGCATTGTACCCTACCGGTAGCCAAAAAGCAATGTAAGCTACTAGGTATTTATCTTCATTTAAATGCCATGAGTAAAGAAGCAGAACTTGCATTTAAGAGATTTGCTAAGGACTACCTATGCCCTTGGAGGAAGAGGACTGTATTCCAGAGTCCATTACAGGGACTGACAATGTCAGTCCTTTGTCTCCAGGTGATCATTCCATGGCCAGTACAAGTCAGTTTTCCCTGGATCCTACTGCAGTATTTAGATGTCAAACTGCCTTGGAAAACACTGACTGGAGATGAGGCTCCCATGTGCAGCTCTCTTCAGGGTTCTTCTCCCAGGGTTATTATGTCTCAGGTCCTGGGAGGTGAATTAAGAGGATTTCCAGGCTGGGAGTATGGGATAAATTTCCTCCCCTAGCGGACAGTTCTTGGTTAAGTCACCTATTGCTGTCACCTCTGCCCCCAGGAGCTTTGCTCTGTGAGATTGAAGTATTGCCCGGGATGAAGTCTTGCAGAGAGGCACTTGAAGCCCCTTTCTCCATAAGGGGTAAATGGAAGCTCTCTCCAGCACCACAACGTGCACAGCTACAGTCAATTTACGTGGTGAAAACAGACCAGTCTTTAAAATGACCTTCAGCAGAGCAGCCTTTGCCAGTGCCTCACAGAGCAGGACCCTGGCCTCAGTCACTGCTGTTTCATCTCAGCGCTTTCTCCTCTGTGCAGCCAATTCACGTGTGGCTGACGAATGTGGCTGGTGGAGTTTATGGGCATGGCAGGTGCTTTCTATTAGGCAATGCTATTGTTTGTAGAGAGCTCATTTAGCGGCTGGCTGGACAGCAGGCAGTGGTTACAAGGAGGATTTTTCTCCCTGTGCCTTTTGCCCAAACATAGGTTAGCAACTAGGGCACTGCAGAGAAAACCAGAGACCTCAATAAACAGTGTTGTCAGAGGACTGATGCTGCATAGCCACAGAGGTGTTCGTGTTTCCTGCTGGGAAGTCAAAACCCAGAAGACACGGTGGTTCTTGTGGTATACTGATGGTGTTTGTCCTGTCACAGGGCTGCAGAGGTCAGGAGCTGCACTGGATGCTTGCTTTTAAGGTGTTTATTTCAGGGATGGCAAATAGAAATCTTGCCCCATCCCTTCTGTCTCCCTTGGCAAATGTATTTACCTGTAGCTCACTCCATACCAGACTTGCAGGTGTCCTTCAAATTGGTTTCCCAACATAAACATCTCCCATATCACTTTCAGTGATGTTATCTGTATAATTCCAGGTTTCACCCAGCTTCTGGTTTCACTTTCTCTGCCAGTAGGTCCAAACTAAACAAAACTGGTGAGGGTTTCTGTATTTCTATTGAGGTCCTCAGCAGGTATAACCTGTTCTTCCGGAATCATGCTGAACTGCATGAATAGATAAGTAAGCTGTTGACCTGTTCAGATAAATAAATCATGGAATAAGACGTCAGTGATTCTTTAGGGTCTTTCAGTCTGGAATGTCCCCTGGCCACTAGGTCACCAAGATGTTGTCTTGGGAAGAACCTGGTCTCTGGTATTTGCCCCCATTTCCCTCCTGTATCTGCCTGTGGATTCCTGGGCTCTTGCTCCCCATGGATGTCTTCACAGTTAGCATATTGTTTCCACCAATATCTCTCTGTGCCAGTGAGGGCTGCATGCCATGAAGGCTGCCTGTAAGATAATCTTTATTTTGATGGCTTTTTAGACCCATGGCATAGGATCTTTACCCCTCTGCTGCCCCAGCTCTCAGATGCTGACAACTCTAACCTGGAGGGATGATTTTCTTACTTTGAGAACAAGAGGGTTCCCAGCCAACAGCTTCATGCTCTCTCCTCCTCTTCACCTTCCTGGTGTCCTCCCTGGTCGGTGCTTTCAGCCGCAGAGGGCTGCAGGCTGCTTTATTTGGTTTCCCTTGCACGAAGCACTACTAATGCCCGACTGCCCTTGGGCTTGTTTTGTTTTATTCCAGACAGACATTTTTTCCGGAGCACTGTTCATCCAAATGTCTTTGGGCTGGAACCTCTACTTGTCCACTGTGCTCCTGCTAGCAGTGACTGCTGTCTACACCATAGCTGGTAAATAGCTGATTCTAAAAGAAACATTATAAACTGGAACCTAGGATGGAAATTTCCCCTTTCCTACATAAGGGAAGGTATTCGGGTCCTCGTCTGAGGGAGAGATTCCCCTGGTAGTACCTGCCCTGTCAATCCCAGCTGTTGGAGACCTCTGACTATTCCCCTCTCTCCTCCTGACCCAAGGGAATCTGGTATGGGGGAACATCACTGTTTCCTGGAGGATTTTCTGCCACTACAGAAGGCTTCTGGCTCCCCCTGTGCAGATAGTTAACACTGCCCATATTTGCTATTATATTCTGGTTTTGCAACATTACCAACTTCAGATATTAAGATGCTGAAACTGCCTCCAAGTCCTCTCATGAACACAGAAAAATCCTTCAGACCATTTTTGGGGGGCTTGTGACAGCTATAGGCTCCTGGGGACCAGCTCAGTGCCAGCTTCTCCCAGTGGGTCTGTCCTGAAATCTCAGGGCTGGGGCCAAGGAAACTCTTTTTCTAGGTGAGGTACCTGTTGCATTGTAGATGGTGATGCGTTCTGCCTGTTGTCTTTGGTTCTCCTGACAGGTGGTTTAACAGCAGTGATATACACAGATGTGCTGCAGACCCTGATCATGGTTCTGGGAGCTTTGACCCTCATGTTCATAGGTAAGGGGAACCTGCAGTGGCATCATACACTAGTTTAATGGTCCCAGGGCCATTAGACCTTATCAGGGTACCTCACCCTTTCATGTATGGTGCCAAGGTACTTCACCCTTTCATTTATGATGCAGAATTGAGTATTAAGAACTCTCATTTACCAAGTCATCAGACTTGCTTCATCTTTTTTACTAACTGTGGAGGAGAGGTTCTGGTTAACTTCACCTTGACAGTTTGGGTTTACTAAGAGTGTAAAGAGCTTGCAACACTGCATTCCCAGAGCCGAATTCAACCCTCACTGTGCTCATGTAAACCTGGAGTAATTCTGCTCACTTGACCTGTTGATTTTGGGAGCTACTGTGGATCCATCTGGGTATAACTGAGCATTATACAGAAACAGAAAATCAACAAGGAACTGACCATCATCAGTCTCTTCTTTGAGCTTTCTTGGGAAACAGAAATATAGATAGATCTTTTTTCATGTCATACCTTCCTGCTCTAGCTCTTGGAGGGATATAAGCAAAGACTAGAAGCTGAGGACATTGGAGGGGTTAGGATCATGGAGCCTTTCCTGCATTAATCTTCTTCCAGAATGTACTGTTAAAACCACAAGGAGTCTGGGCAAAATCCAACTGACTCCTGTAGAAATCTCAACTACCAAAAGCGAGGGTGGAATGAAAAGGAAGGAGATAAGAGGAAGACAGGAGAAAAGTAATTATGAGACTCAGATAAGGAAATAACTGCAGGATGCACCAGACCTTAAATCACTGCCTTTTTCTTTTCAGGATTTGAAAAAGTTGGCTGGTATGAAGGACTTCAGGAGAAATACAGCACAGCAACACCGAAGATCATAGTCCCAAACACGACCTGTCACCTCCCGCGTGCAGATGCCTTTAATTTGTTTAGGGATCCACTCACAGGAGACCTTCCTTGGCCTGGTCTTATATTTGGTCTCTCTGTGCTGGGTCTTTGGACGTGGTGCACTGACCAGGTAAAGAAAGTTTTTCCCTCCGCAGGGAAACTGCCACACATTTCTTTCCAGTCCAATCCTCGGTTTGTGGGTCTGTGAGCGGAACCATGACTGTGTCTCACTGTGCAGGAGTTACTACCTTGCTACTGGTCTAGACCAGAATATCTTGTGCAATTCTTAATGCAGAGAGAAAAGGTTGTTTTCTTCCATCTTTATCCTACCGTGGGCTGGTGAGTACTGGGAGTCTTCATGCAGTTAGTGTGACAAGGGTATGAAAATGTGGATCTGGAGCTGGCTCTGCAGTGACCTTATGTAGACCTCCAGACAAGCCATTCATATTCCTGGGGGTCTCATGTTTCTTATTCCTTTCCAAGCTACAAACAAGGAACAGTTTTGTTTCTCAAGACACAGTGCTTTTGTGCAATGGGATGGTTATGAAAACCTGCCATGGAACTTTTAACAAAACACCTACAGCCTGCTTCATTCCTTGTCTCTTGCTGCTGTACAGCTGCTGTCTCCAGTCCTCAAGGTGGCTTCATTTCAGTCAAGGGTGAAATGATTTCTGTAAAGGAAATTTCCATGCTACCCTCTCCTACAGCCTGTGCACTGCGCTCTGAGCAGTGGCAGCAGGCTGCAGTCAGCCGAGGTGGGAAAGTTGCCATTGGCATGCAAAACGCCCTGGGATCCTGATGGATGAAAGTCATCCATGAGAACAAGAGACTTCTTTAGTGCTTTTGGTTTACTCTTTGCTCCCTCTCTGCACTGATTGCAGGTGATAGTCCAGAGGTCTCTCTCTGCCAAAAATCTCTCCCATGCGAAAGGTGGATCGGTGCTGGGAGGATATCTGAAAATGCTCCCTATGTTTTTCATTGTCATGCCAGGAATGATCAGCAGAGCTCTTTACCCAGGTGAGCCTTCCCATGTCCCTTGCCACATGGCTTTATACCTGCCGTGACCACTACTCCCACACAGCTTCACCAGCACTTTTGCACCTCAGAAACTGCTGTCCTGCGGGCACACTCATGTACATTCCTGTAGTACAATGGTGTTCCCATGCCCTTCCTCCACTTCCAGTGCTCCCACAGTGTGAAAGTCACTGGAAATATCCATATGAGGCATATTTTGCCATTAGAGGTGTATAGCTCCCTGCTGTGGACATTGCGTGCATCTGCCTATCTGGAGGAAGTCAGTGAGATGGAATACACAGTGTACTGAGGCTGTTCTTCAGGTCCTATGGATTACTTTCATCAGGTATTTGGGGGGATTTTAGCAACCTGCCGCACAGATTCATTCAATTCCTGGTGGACTACACAAAACAGGCCTCTCCTGTAGGAAACCAAGTGTTCCCCTCCTGTTGTCTCCCAGGGAGCTCTCATTGCTGGATTCTCCAGAGCATGCCACTTCCCAGGAAGAATACCCCAGTTAAGAGGACTGCTCCCGCAGGGAATTGCCTCTCTCCCAGATCTCCTCGAACAGGAGTAATTCAGCCTGCAACATCCTTGGTAACCCAGCCGATAGGTTCACGGAAACAGTCCAGTTCCAACAAACAACAAATCATCAAGGATTATGATTATGCAACATCCAGGATAGTTATATCTGTACCCTGAACAGAGTTCCAGAATGTCATCTCAAAGTTTTACCTGTATCTTATGATATAAGGCATTCTTTATCTCCGCTCATTCCAGCTGTATTCCAGCTGCACCTCTGAATTTATATGAAACCACACAAGGCATCAAGATTTGTTCCCTCGAACTAAACAACCTGTAGCTCCATGGGCTTTACAATGAATAACTTCAATGTTATTTTTCTGTCTTCTGCAGATGAAGTGGGCTGTGTGGACCCAGACATCTGTAAAAGGGTCTGTGGAGCTGCGGTGGGCTGTTCCAACATTGCCTACCCCAAACTTGTGATAGAACTCATGCCTGATGGTGAGAAACCCTTATACATATGGAGAGGGGGTTGAGCCATGCTCTGCCAGGGGGATCAGACTGCTCTTATCCATCCTAAGGATGAGGATGCAGTTACCAGACATGAGGATGAAAAAACAGCACTGAGAGGCTAAAGGTCTAGTCCTGATTTTCCCTTCCCTTCTTTTCTCTCCCAGGGTTCCGGGGTTTGATGATTGCTGTGATGATGGCAGCCTTGATGAGTTCCCTCACCTCCATTTTCAACAGCAGCAGCACTCTCTTCGTTATCGACATCTGGCAGCGGATCCGCAGAAAGGCTTCAGAGCAGGAGATGATGATTGTGGGCAGGTCCTTACATTTCTTTATGTCTCATTGCTCTCATCATCTGTTTCGAGTGCAGCCTTTACATTCTCCAGTCTGGACCCACTGAGAAAAATCTGGTGCCTAAAATACAGAGTGGGAACACAGCCTGGGAAAGAGCATTACGTTTTCCAGCTTCATCTCAGACAGACCTGGTCAAAGAGAAACACTGGGTATACCACTGAGCTACATAGATCATTGTCTTTCTCCTCTCTAAACTTAACATAAATATTGAATTAAATGTAACTTTTAGAAAAGCCAAAGGTGCTCTGGCATCGCTGCCACCAGAGGTCTTTAAGAACATGTTATTTTTGCATCAGACAGGAGTGATACATTGCAATTACTCCTTTTTTTTTAACAGGGAAAAGTGCAGAGCTGGGCCTCCCAGCTCTCTATTGCTGTGGTAAGTTATAGTGCCCTTTGAGAGCAAGCTTTGGTACTGCATTGTATCAGGAGCATAGAAAGTTCTTCTCCGATAGCAGAATTTGTGGTGCTTTTGCTCTCCAGTCATTGAACATTAAGTTCTAAACTTTGCTGTGGGCTTGCTGAAGGCTGAAGGCAATCTCATACACCACCACAGAGTAGTGAGAGGGGGAGAAACCTCTGCAACATACAGTGCAGAGATGAAGGAGGGTTATGGTATGCCCCTGAGAGCCCAGAAACAATTCTAATAAGCAGCAAATAAGTTGGAATTTGGCAAAGGCACTAGACTGAACATGCTCTCTGCTTGGAAAGGTGGCAGAAAAGTTGCTTCCGTGCTCCCACAAGCTTCCAGCTCCCTCTCTCTACTGCACCAAAGAGCTAGTCCTTCAAAGAACATGTCACTTTCTAGGACACACCAGGCTGAAGGGCTTGCACTGATCCAGCTTACAATGGGAGCCACCATGCTCTGTGGATCTCTCATGCAAGTTGACTGGCAAGTCCTACCTCAGCTCACTCTGAAATCTGTGACGTTTTAGGAACTGGTTGAATTGACTTTCTAGAAGAGAATAATCTCTCTTCTTTCCCCGTGTACAATGAGAAAAGTTCTTCTGAGGGTGTTCTGTGGCTTTTTCTTAGGAAATTCTGAGAGCAATTGGAAATTTTCCTGAAAAACTTCATTTTCAGTGAGCTCCACCACCCGCAGAGCTAATACAATTTTATCCTCATCTTCCAGAGTCTTTATCCTCATCCTGATAGCCATCAGTATTCTCTGGATCCCAATCATTCAATCAGCCAACAGCGGCCAGCTCTTTGACTACATTCAGTCCATAACCAGCTATCTAGCCCCACCGATCACAGCTCTCTTCATCCTGTCAATCTTCTGCAAGAGGATTAATGAGCCTGTAAGTGAAGTGTCAACAACCAATTGATATACATATTTAATTGATTTGATAGAAGAAATAACTCTCCCCTCGTACCTAGTGTTTAAGACTCCAGACTCAAAGCCAGTCCAGGTGATGTGTGACAATTAGACAGACTTTGGCTGGCATGCATTAGTGGATCTTATCCCAGTCTCTGGTGTATGTGTGTTTGCTTCCAAGCAGCCACTGCAAGTGGTACTTCTTGGCAATCTTATTTGAAAGCATGAAAGGCAAAGTCATTCTGCACTTTAGGGATGATGTGCCGAAGTCTAGTTGGAGGCATGTTGTTAGGAGGACACTCTTTAATTGTGTCTTTCATTGTGTGTGTTCTGTCTTTTCCATGTTCAAGGGCAGAAAGAGAAAGTGAGGACTTTTAACTGAAGATATCCTCCTTTGACGCATGTCAGTGTGGGTTTCCATCGGGTGTAAAAGGTCTTGGGAAACGGAAGGGAAAGGAAAGGGAAAGGAAAGGAAGAGAAAGGGAAAGGAAAGGGGAGGATAATTTCAACCAAAGGTGGCATTCGGTGACCCTTTCTTTATGCTTGCCTTTTCTCAGGGTGCTTTCTGGGGCCTCATGGTCGGGCTAGCTGTTGGTCTTGTTCGGATGATCGCCGAGTTTATTTATAGCATACCGTCTTGTGGTGAGGAGGACAGAAGACCAGCTGTGCTAAAGGACATGCACTACCTCTACTTTGCCTTCATCCTCTGTGTCCTCACTGCGATTGTCATTGTCCTTGTTAGTCTCTGCACCCCACCGATCCCTGAGGAAAAGGTGAGTGACGTGCAGTGGTATCCTTCCCTCAGAGCCCCCATTCGGTTTCCAAAAGATCTCTGAAATCTGTCCTTTCCTTTTCCTCCCATGGTTAAGAAATGGCACGTAATGCATATGCTGTGAAGAAACCCTTGCTCCTCAGCTTGCTATTCCCCAGGTTTCATAGTGTTAATGCTTCCTGAGGCACCGAGTGCTTCAAATTGAGTGTGAGTTCCCATGCTGCGCCTAAAGCTGGGCAGACTCCACAGCCCATCATAGCTGGAAGAGAAAGGAAAGAAGAAGGGGAAGGAGATGAAATCGTATTACAGAGCACTGCTGAGGAGGAATTAAATATATCTAATTGTAGCATCTACCCACTTTCAGCAGAGCCAGCATCAATCTTGCAGGCAAACAAGATTAATATCTTCTGCAACATGGGCATTTAGGAAAATAACATTTTGTCCCAATGTGATCTCAATTACATTTAATAACTTTGAGTCAGGCACAACTTTCTTTTACTTAACACATTAAAGTGGTGCAGAGTTGGGAGGCTTTATATAATAAGACCTTAGAGCAACTCTTCCCAGCCCCAAGTTTTAAAGCAGCTGTCAATATAACAAATCCTGCCATCTACCTCCAAACAAAGCTTACTGGAAAGGTTTGAAAGGCCTATTTTTTTCCTGTCTGACTGCATGAGGAAGCGCGGGTGATGCCATCAGAACATTTTCTATCTGTTGCTTCCTCATAACTTGTAAAGCATTAACCAGTTCTATCAATGTTTGATTGAACGTTACCCAGCTCCTAAAGATTACATGAAAGCAGGTGCTCAGATAGAGAAGAAGGGGGGAGAGGGAGACTGTCTTTGTGTCTGCTTTGAGATAAAGTCTCAGCTTTTATTAGCTATCAGAGGATCCACATGGGAGAGAGAAATACTGTCAAGGAGGCACCATTAGTTCTGCTGCTTACGTTGTTCACTACTGCTCAGGGGTGGCCAGATGGTTGCCAGCAATTAATTACTGTGGTTTAATGAGTTCCCACTCATCATCTGACCTGCGATAACTAAACATGTGCGGTGCTCCCTGCCCACAGCAATAGCAAGATAAGATGCATTAACACAGCACTGGCAAATAGTGAACATCATAGCAGCAGTTTAAGAAATGAAGAAGCTGGCCACTGCACCTACAGACTTTTTAGTTTGACCTTTGAGGGAGAAGAACATTTAAAGCTTTAAACGTTTGAAAGCTTTAGAATGGAGAGTTCAGGATGAAGATGTACTCTAATAGCATCAGGGGAAGAGAAGTTATGAGCATAAGAGATTCCTTAGAGGAGATTTTCACTGGAAATAGGTGAGTTTATAGGTGCAGGACTTAAGGGACCTTGTTTGACATATTCTTCATAAAGCCAGTGCTCAGAAAAGGTGGATTTGGACTGGAAGAGGTCCAGGAAGGAAAGCCAATGGAATGGTCAGGGGGGATAGGATTTTGTCTGAAACAGCAGCTCCAGAAGAGCAAAGGATGAGTTGTGTGGATGGTGGCTGCCCCACCAGGTACATCTGGAGATCCAGGGAGGGAGGAGAGCTTGCTAAAAGGGCAGAGCTGGCTATGGACAAACATAGGCTGGGCATTTTTTGGGAAGTTTTCTAACAAGAGATGTGCAAGATGATAACCTTTCGGTAGGCTACGGACCCCACATACTGCTGAGCTCAGTGCCTGACCTCTGTATTAGTGATTCTGTTGAAGAAAATTAATGAGAATTAATCATATTGCCTGTGGCAGTGAGAGGCTGGACACAGAGACCCAGATAAATCAATCATCTGATGATGGTGATGACCATCCATGTCCCATGTGCCCCCCTGCCTTCAGTATCTTCTTACCACAAGGACAATGATATTTATGCCACACAGTGGAAGTTAATTCCCTCTTCCTATAGCTTGGTAGCATGGGAGAGTCTGCTCTTATTTGGCTTTACTCTGATTTCCATTCAGTTTCAACTATTTATCCACAATTTCAGCGGGAAATTCTGACCTTGTTCCTCAGAGAACAGTGAAAGTGTGGGTCTTAAGCTGAGGTAGGTGCCAACGTTGTTGTGTTACTGCCTGTCTGGCATGAATCTGAGTGGGCAGCACTGAAACCAGCATTTTCCATCTTCCCTCAGTGAGACTCACCCCAACTTTTGCCTTAAACATGAGTGTAGATGTAGGTTTGGACCATGGTTTCTCATGGTGTCCTGCAAGCCGGGCTTGTCTCCTCATCTCAAGCTGGTCTGTGGCTGTGCTGAGATGGCTTAAGGGCAGAAGGGGTTTGGGAATGAAGGGCAGGAGGTAGAAATCAGGATGGAAGTGTCAGGCTCTAACCCTCTGGATAGAAACTAGCACCTGAACTTTGTGCTTGGCCGTTAGTGACCTCTAGTTGCTGCGG